GGACACTGCAAGTGACAGCCCCCACCTTGCAAGCTGATCAGATGAAGAATGGGAGGGCTCTTAAGTCTGGGCCCCACTCAAGGCTGGATGGCAGTCTTGGGCTCTTGACTGCCATTCTGATCTCTTCCCTTGGATGTCAGCCTGGCGGGAGGCTGGGGCCCTTGGTGCAGACCCTAGACTCCCTAGAGCACTGCCCCCCAGGGGCCTGTGGGAAAACCTCTGTTTGGACATCCTACACATCCTTCAAGATCCAGACAACATATGGATTCCCTACTGAAGACTGACAGGAAAATCTGCTGAGTCAGAGGCAGCCTTTCACACACACTGGGCTCCGGAATTGTCCAATAGCACGTCTACCTTCCAAGGATAGGAGCTGGGTTTTGGCTCCAGCATGGCATTCAGCCCAGAGGGGCCCAGTTCATGACTGTGAGAAGGGTGCACGCCTGCACGCAGGTGGTGGGGGGGGTGGCCTGCATTTGGAGAGTTTTCCAGACTTTGCAGATGCCAACAAGGGAATTCTCTAGGGCCTCCCACGGTCTGGGCCTCCGTGGATATTCTTGGTCCAAACCTTTTTCTATAGATGAGGAAACTGATGCCCGACAGGGCAAGAGATTTATCTGAGCTCACCTGGCCTGTGCATCCAGCCCCAGAAGTCAAGGCTAGGCCACTGACAAAGGCCCCAGAGGCCTCTTCTCCCACTTTTATCCACCTCCATCTCCCCACGGGGAGCCTTAGTCCTGACACCAGGGCTCACTTTGAGCCACGAAAAGAATCTCAGTGCTCCTCACAATCACCACTCAGAGAGAGGGCTGGGTTTATTATTAACCCTTTGATACCTGGGAGGAAACAGTGCATCAGAAGACCAGCCATGGTCTCACGGCCACCTCTTTGCCAGTAATATCTGCCACGTTGGCACTCATATGTCCACCCACCTCCGTTCTCTATCTGCCTCGTTCACCTTTGAGCCTCTCAGAACCAGAACTAGACCCTGGGTTCCCTGTCTCCCCGACCCTGTCTCCCACCCACCCCCTTCAGCCATAGTTTGTTCAACAGTACAAGGCGGGGAGCTACGGGGCAGGGTGGCCAGTGGGAGGCAGGACCCAGTGCCCCCATCTCTCTAGGTCCAGGCTGGTGTTCTAACTGACCCTGCCTGCAGCAAAAGCTCCCTCAGCACTGCAAGCCCCATGGAGACTCTGCATCCAGGGCCTTGACACTCAACCCTGAACCCCCAGCCACTAATCCAGAGACTCACCATGTTGCAGCCCGAGATTGAAGACCGGAAGAGGAGCTAGTTCAGTTCAGTTCAGTCGCTCAGGCATGTCCAACTCTTTGCGACCCCATGAACCGCAGCACGCCAAGCCTCCCTGTCCATCACCAACTCCCGGAGTTCACGCAAACTCATGTCCATTGAGTCAGTGATGCCATCCAACCATCTCCTCCTCTGTTGTCCCCTTCTCCTCCTGCCTTTAATCTTTCCCAGCATCAGGGTCTTTTCAAATGAGTCAGCTCTTCACATCAGGTGGCCAAAGTATTGGAGTTTCAGCTTCAACATCAGTCCTTCCAATGAACACCCAGGACTGATCTCCTTTAGGATGGACTGGTTGGATCTCCCTGCAGTCCAAGGGACTCTCAAGAGTCTTCTCCAACACCACAGTTCAAAAGCATCAATTCTTTGGCGCTCAGCTTTGTTTATACTCCAACTCTCACATCCATACATGACTACTAGAAAAACCATAGCCTTGACCAGATGGAACTTTGTTGGCAAAGTAATGTCTCTGCTTTTTAATATGCTGTCTGGGTTGGCCATAACTTTTCTTCCAAGGAGTAAGCGTCTTTTTATTTCATGGCTGGAGTCACCATCTACAATAATTTTGGAGCCCCCAAAAATAAAGTCTGCCCCTGTTTCCACTGTTTCTCCATCTATTTGCCATGAGCTAGAGAGCACAACAAATCCTTTGGTTTGGCCTTGGCAAATTGACCCCTCAGCCAGCAAACTATCTGTGCAACCATTTCTGGTGACCCTGAATGGACGGTTGGGTGGATGGATAAATGGGACGGAGGGTGGGTGGGTGGAGGGAGGGAGAGAGGGAAGGATAAGCGAGTCTCCTGCCGTGCCACCATGACCTCCTGGTTCCAAACCACACAGAGTCGATCCACTTCTGCATCTCCTGCCATTAAGCCCAGTGGCCCCAACCCTGCCCCCAGACCTAGTGACCTCACCTGTCTCCCTGGGGATGCACACGTGCCCTGAAGAGCGAGGGGTCTTCTGTCTTCCCTTGCAGGGCTGGAGGCCCCTGGGCCTTCCGTGGCCCAGTTCTGACACCTGCTGGTGCCTCTGAAGAGTGGCCCCGGCTTCTTCCTTCTCACCACTCATTCACTTAGAGCTGCCAAACCAGCCTGGCAGCCCTCTTGGCCACCCGACCTCCAGTCTGATTCACACTGGCAGGGCCAGGCTCCAAACCAGAGGAGACCCGGGACATCTTTGCACATCATGGGAGACTTCCATTCACGTGAGGTCAAAGCCCCTCCTCCACCCAGGCCCTCTAGCCAGGTCATCCTGGGAACCGAAGACCACAGACTATCACAGAACGTGCGGCCGGAGTGCCCAAGGTCACCTGGTGAGTGTGTCGGGACTTCCTTCTACTCCCAGCCCTGTGTCGCCTCCTATCAGAGCAGTATTGGGCATCACTGGGGTGAAGGGAAGAAGCACTGGGAAAGGAAGGAAGGAACTGGGGATTGGCCAGCAGTTAACAGGAGCAGGTTCAACAGACAGGATGAGGTGGGGGCTATGATGCAAGCAACATGCAAGACCCCACCTTAGGCAATACCTCCTTGACTTCTCCCAGTTCAGTTCAGTTCAGTCACTCAGTCATGTCCAACTCTGCGACCCCATGGACTGCAGCACCCCAGGCTTCCCTGTCCATCACCAACTCCCGGAGCTTACTCAAACTCATGTCCATTGAGTTGGTGATGCCAGCCAACCATCGCATCCTCTGTCAACCCCTTCTCCTCCTGCCTTCAATCTTTCCCAGCATCGAAGATGGGAGAAGAGGACAACAGAGGATGAGACGGTTGGATGGCATCACCGACTTGATGAACATGAGTTTGAGTAAGCTCCGGGAGTTGGTGATGGACTTCTCCCAGCTCTGACCCTTAAGCACCATCCATCCTCAGAAGGTAAAGAACCCAACTGCAACGCAGGAGACCTGGCTTCAATCCCTGGGTTGGGAAGATCCCCTGGAGAAGGGCATGGCAACCCACTCCAGTATTCTTGCCTGGAGAATCACATGGACAGAGGAGCGTGGTGGGCTGTAGTCCATGGGGTTGCAAAGAGTCAGACACCACTGAGTAACTGCACACATCTCAGTCAGACCACTTGGGAAGAGGGTGCCACCATGTGGCTAATATTGGTATTACACACATTCCTGCTGGCCCCCTAAATTCAGTCTGGGTGTCCCAATCCTGCAGTCAAGGATCATAAAACTCTGCCCTTGGCCTGTAACAGGCTTGCCTGGAATGCCCCCCAAATGCATGCACACATTCACACACTTCCATCCACCCACTCCGACTTCAACACCAGCAGCAACTCCTCGTCTAGGAAGCCCCCATTGCCCAGAGAGCACACACGCTGGAAATACCACTCCGACCCAGCCAGCTGCATGTCTGGGCAAGAGACTTGACTCCTTGGAGCCTCAGTTTCTTCGGCTGTAGAACAGAGATGACACCAGCACCTCCCAGATGCCATGAGCCCTGCATGAGATCACGTGTCTGTGTGCCTCACTATTGTTTTCATCACTGTTCACTAGGGTCTGACACCCATCTTCCCAGCCCCTCTGGGGCATGGGCATGAGGGGAGGGAGGGGGAGAGCCCAGGTAGAAAGAAGCGCGTGAGTAAAGACTCCAGGAAAGAAACAGCCTGGCGCTTTGGCATGTTTGACATACTTGATATACTCGGGAAGTGCGAGGGGTGCAGCTGGTTTCACTGTGGACTTGGGGGGAAGGGGAGACGTGGGTCAGAGAGCTGGCAAGGGGTGAGTCCGCCAGACTGCACGGCTGCAGGAAGGAGTGCGCTTCGTCTTGAGGGCATGGGGGCTCCCGAGGCGAAACCCAGGGAACACCAAGTCCCAGGGAAGCTGGCACGGAGGTGGGCTGAGAGGGTGGGTTGGGATGCGAGAGGCAGAGGGGCTTCCAGTCGCCCAGGTGAGAGAAGTCACCTGAGATGACCAGCTTAGGGACTCAAGCTGTATGGCGGGCGGGGGGTGTGATGGCGAATGATGGGAGACGACAGAGGGAGGCAGCCGGTGGCAAGGATGTGGGTGATGGTGTCAGTCACCGAGACTGGGCACGGGGCCTCCTGCTGATTTCACCGTGTGATCTGAGGCAAGACGCAGACTCCTCTGGCGGCGGTGACAGCCGAGCCCGGGCCGTTCCAGGAACACGTGAAAGCAACAACTGCAAAAGCCTGCCAGCCAGCAGGCCCTCTGCCGAGGCCAACCAGGGGCCTCTTAGACTCTCCCCTCAGTTGCCACAAGGGAAGGACCGTGGCTTGGCATCTTTGCAGTACTCCCAGTGCCAGGCACACGCCCCCAAACACCTTCCACACGCCCTGCACACACCAACCACATGACATCCACAGGCCAACCACACCCCTTCACACACCCCCCACACGCCAGCCACACACCAACCACACACCATCCACCTGCCACCACATACTATGCAAACGCCTTCCCCATGCCATTCACATGCCATCTGTAGGCCACCCACACACTTCTTCATGTCATCCACACACAAACTACATGCTATTTCCATGCCATCCATCGCCTGCCATGTGCCATTCACACACACCTACACGCTCGCCATCCGTGTGCTCAGCCTCTCCTCCCAAATGAGAACCAGGCACCCACTTGGAACCCCAAGGACATCCCAGCCCCACGGGACCGCAAGCCTCTCATTTCCGCGAAGACACGTTCCCCCTCCCCATGGCCCCACCAGTCACCCACCTTTGCAGGTGCAGCCCTCCCGGGTGATAACCTGTCGGCAGATCCCACAGGGCTTCACCTTCCTGAAGGTCTTCACCTTGAAGTGGTGAGTCTTGGGGGCCTCCAGGTCCTCTGGCTGTGGGAGGAGAGGCACAGAAGTCAGGCTGAGCTCCTGGGGAAAGAGCCGGGAGACCGAGAGAGAAGCAGGCCAGCACTGGGGGAAGGAGAAGTGAGAGCCCCTTCAGCGGTGAAGGGACTGAGCCCATTTCTGGAAGGAGACGCCCATGGAAAGAGAAAGCTATGGGTGTGACCCAGACTCCCAGAAGGCAGTGGGGCTCAGACAACCCAAAACCCCAGCATCCAGGCAGCACAGGCTCCTCCATGGTTTCTTACTCACTTTTTCTGTATTAGCCAAGTGCACTGATTTTAAATGTATTGCTCAGTACAATTTGACACGTGTGCCCCCTGGATTCACACCCCTGGAGGCTCCCTGGTGACCATCTCAGTCATTATCAAGTCTTACCAAGGTAAAGACTATTGACTTCTGTCACCAAAATCCATTCTGCCAGGTTTTTAAACTTCATATGAATGGAATGACACAGTATACGCTCCTCTGTCTGCTTCCTTGGCTCAGCAAGAATCTGTGAGATTCATCCCTGCGGTCACGTAGAACGGCAGCTCCCGCCTTCTCACTGCTGCATGGTACTCCACCGTGTGCACGCAGCTGACTTGTTCATCCATCCCTCTGCTGATGACCCTCAACGTTTCACCCCCGAGAGTGCCATGCCCCTCCGCTCTCTCTCCAATCCTCATTATTACTCCCTGCCTCAGCCCAGAAGGTGTCTTCCATCTTTATCTCTATTTCCTCTTCTTTACATTATGAAAATATCAATAGGCTCAATATCCTTTTTTAAATTTTTTTTTTTAGCTGCATGCAGCATGTAGGATCTTGGTTCCCTGACCAGGGACCGAACCTCCACCCGCTGCACTGGAAGTGTGGAGTCTTAACCCCTGTACCACCAGAGAAGTCCCTAAATATCCTTTTTAAAATGACGCCACCGCACATGTGGGATGGGAGACGGGCTGGCAAGTCCAAGCCTTCTCTGTGTCTGGTTTTCGGTGAGCTCTGGGCCAGCCGCCAGCCTACCACTAACAGGGGCCTCAGTTGCCCCCTCCAGACAGTGTGAGGTTGGGCTCCACACCCCCTTGTGACCACAGATGTCAACACACTCTTAAGTCACAAAGTCATGCATGCTGCTTAAGAACCCCTCCCTCCTCCCACCCACAGCCCCCAGCCCAGGCACAGGCTGTTCCGAGGACACCCCCGGGAAGTCAGGCCCTGAGTACAGACGCCCATTCCTCTCCCAGGCACCTCCCCCTGGTGTCTGACTGGATTCACTCCCCAGCTCCAGGAGCAGGGGCCAACAGAGCACAGACTCTGATGCTGCCCCACCGGCCCCCCAGGCCCAGAGCTTTCCAAAGCCCCCAGCACACACAGGGACACACAGATGCGACAGTACACGCCACAGTGCCAGGGAGAAGGTTCTTTTTCTCCAAGCCCCTCTCCGAGCACCCCAGTCTGAGCCTCCCAGCTCTAGGTGTTCAGGGGATGGCTGGCAGTGTCCCAGAAAGTTTTGATAGCAAATAGACATACATAAACGCGTGCAATGCCTATAGGTTGGAATACAAACCAGCATGTCCAGGGCTCGCAGCTGGAAGCGCTGTAGTGCTGAGTCCTGGTTAAAGGAGATGGAGCCACGAGAGACACAGAGAGAAAAACAGACGAAAGGAGAGACAGAAAGCCAGCAGGGAAAGAGGCAGAAAGACAGAGAGAGGCAGAGGGAGAGAGACACAAAAGAGAAAAATACAAAGAGAGGCAGAGAGAGAGAAAAGCAACAGTCAGACAGAGAAGGAAAAAAAGAGGATCAAGATAAAGGCAAAAACAAAGAGACAAGCAAGCACATAGACAGTGAGAGAGATGAGATGGAAACACAGAGAGACTATAAAGGGAACCAGAGACTCCAAGGGAAACAGACAGACAAAAAGGACACAGGAGCCAGCTTGAAGGGGCTCCTCAGATCTGGGAAGACGTGAGCATCAAAATACATCATGATAGTAATGATACATCAAAATACGTGCTGACAGCAATGACAGTCCATACTGATAGGTGAAATAAGTGAAAACACTGAAAGTCTGGTGAGGAGCAGAGCATTTACGAGGCTCAGAGCACCTCCCCACATCATGCTTATAAATTACAAAGGGGGAAAAAGAGTAACTCTGCCTGGCAGGCTCCACTTTAATCAAGTGATCAAAGCTAACGTCACCGGTAACGGGATAAGTGGAGATCGTGCACTAGGGAGGGGATGGAGTGAGAACAGAACATTATTTCTGCGATACTCCTGCCAAAGACACACAAGCTGAATCCAATCAGGAGGAAGCATCGAACCAACCCCAACAGAGGGACAGGCTGCCAATGCAGTGGCTTAGAATCTCCCAAAGTGACAAGGTCACAAAAGTCAAGCAAAGGCTAAGGAGACTTCCAGACTGAAGCAGACTGAAGAGACCTGACAAGCAAACGCCACCACTGACTCCGAACTGACTCCACGCCCCGAAAGGACATCACGAGGACAACGGGCCGACCTTCAGTGGAGCCTGAGGATGAGAAGGCAGTCACTCAGCAGTGTCAATCTTCTGACTCGGATGGCTGTGCTGGGTTCGGTAGGGAAAATCCTTGTAGGAAAATAGGGCCGTATTCAGAGAGGGTATGGCAATGGGTCAGCTACTCTCAAATAGTTCGGTGGCGGGGGTGGGGGATGTTCTCTGCACTGTACTTGACACTTTTCTGAAGTTTTAGATTGTCTCAAAATTCAAAGAGACAGACAGACTACACGTTGAGATGGTGGGGAGGCAGAAGGGAGCAGAGATAAAGCCCAAAGCCGAGACAGAGCGAGCAGAGGGTAGTGGAGCCAGCAGGTGCGGGAGCCCAGCCGCACCCCCTATTGGCTGGACCAGGCAGCAGGACCCAGGTTCTGATACTCCAGACACTTTGTTCTGGGAGCTTCAGCTGAGGCTGGGTGTGAGGGGGTAGACTGAGAGTGGGCGCAGGCCACTGCCCGGCTCTGCACTTGACCCAGTACCCCCTACCCCACACCAGGAGGGGCAGGTGAGTCCTCCTATCCTGAGGTCTCACCTCCTGTGTTCCCATCTCAGCCCCCTGCTGGCGACCTTCCAAATGATCTGTCACTGACCTTCCAGGGAGGGGACCCAGTCCGTTGTCAACTGCAGCAGCCAAGGCTTAGATGGGAGGAGAAGCAGGGAAAGGATTTGGGGTTCAATTTAAGGCATGTCTGAAGGGCCTGCAGGAAGCCCTAAAGCCCAATCATCTCAAGCCTACTCTACCCCCAGAAGCCTGCCTCTCCCACCCCACCAAGTCAGCAAAGCTCCCCATACCAGCTTATCCCCCAGCCTTAGCTGCCTACGACCCCAAATCTAGCCCTTCCCCTAAAGCCCAGGGAAAGAAGCCTCCTCACTAAAGCAAAGTCAGGACAGTGGAATCTGCCCAGTAAACAGATGAGGAGCAGGCTGGCCTTCCAGGCTGACCAGCAAACACCCAGGCTTCTCCCCTGGGTCCTGGGCTTGCTTGTTCTGCTTGGCCAACTCCATAAAGTCTGGTTTACAAAATCTCCTCCCCCGTGGACTTGGAGAACAGAAATGGGCTTCAGAAAACATGCTCTCTGGCCTCGCTCACGGCCTCTTTGAGCTGCCCTGGGTGATGGTCCATCACACTCCTGTCCCCTATACCCACCGCATCCTGGTTCTCTGGCTGAAGGATCTCTGGGATGGGAGTCTAGAGACCGGCTTTCCAGACTGGCAGTCTTGGGACCATCAGTGGCCTTCTCCAGGCCTCACAGTCCCCAGATGGAAGTGAGGGGTTTGGACAAGACAGCCTGCTTGTACACAGTGTAAGGGAAACGATGGGCCAGTTTGAGAGGAAGGGACTGTGGGATCTAGGGGGTGGGCCTTGCTGATGGTTACAGAGAGGGGGCTGTCTAATGTGACATCACCCCTCTGTGAGGGGCTGGGCAACCCCAGTTGGAGTGAGGAGACCAGCTGGGCCATGCCCAGGAAAGTGACCCCAGGTCATGACCTTGACTCTGCCAGCATCCCTGGCTATATACACTGGGATGTCTGGTAATCTTGTTGAGTCATCCACAGAGGTCTGAAAGTTTCCCGGGATGATGGAGGAGGAAGTGTAGGGTGGAATATCTTCAAATATCTGAAGGAGCTGTCATGGCTGTGAAGTTTCTAAAGGCAAAAAAAAACCCCAGTGGGTAGAAGGTGCCAGAACTCATGATTAAACAGGAGAAAAGGAACTTCCGAACAATCATACATCAAAATCCAGAGGAAGAAGATAAAGGAGGGTCTAGCACCTCCCCTGCCCCACCCACGGTTACTCTGCAGGTACAGGCAGAGGATGAGCACGGAGCCCATAAAGCACCAAGCTCAAGGGTAGTGGCTTGTTATGACAATGAGCATCATTTTCCCTGACAAGCAGCAGACAGCCTCACAAAGCACGCCGGCCCCTCCCTTGCCGGATTAGCTCCTAACGGACCTAGGGAAAATTCAGGGCAGAAGAGCCCCGGCCACGGCAGGAGCTGCCTGGTCTGTCCCCAGCCCACCTCCCTCGAGAGCCAGAACTCAGAAAAGGGAAAGGGTCCTAGCTGAAGTCATTCTTCCCCACCCTCCAAGCCCAGAGCCCTACCTGGCGACAAGCCCAGCCAGCATCAGAGGGCTTTCCTGGCCCTCTGGGGGATCTCTCCCTGCCCCACTCCCCCAACGCTGTTCAGCCAAGCTGCCTGCCAGAGGGGTGTGGCACATCTGGCTTGGGCAGCCTTGGCGGGAGTTCTTGGCCTTGGGGTGGGAATGGCTGTTTACTGGCTCCTCCCTGCCCCTTGGGGCAGAGCGCAATGGAGTGGGGGTGGTGATGAAAGGGGACTGATAACCCTAGAGGTCCTCAGCTCATGAGCTCCTGCCCCCTCCCCAAGAAAACAGCCCCAGCCCTGCCCCACTGGGTTCCCTGGGCCCCACACTAGGAGCCATGGACGAAGAGGCCAGAGGACAGAAGTCGGCAAGCCA